CGAAGACCGTAGAGAGTTCGCAGAGAGAACTGAAGCCGCTCGACCTTCCTAAGCGACATCGCTTCGCTCTATGGGCTTTAAAAAAGTTCCAAGAAAATCCGACGTTTTCGAGCCAAATTTTGTTTAGCGATGAGGCCTATTTCTGGCTCAATGGATATGTAAATAAGCAAAATTTCCGCATTTGGGACGGAGAGCAACCTGAAGAGATTCAAGAGCTGCCATTTAATCCAGAAAAAACAAAGGTTTGGTGTGGCTTGTGGGCCGGTTGAATCATCGATCCATATTTCTTCAAACATGATGCTGGTGAGAACTATTTGATATCTGAAATTTAAGCTTGTGATCTCGGCGACATTTGGTTTCAACAAGATGGCGCCACTTACCACAAATCGCATCAATGACTGGATTTATTTAGAGAACACTTCGGTGAACAGATAATTTCACGTTTTGGGCCGGTCGATTGGTCACTAAAATCGTATGCTATCACATCGTTAGACTTTCTCCTGTTGGGTTATGTAAAGTCTTAAGTCTATGCGGACAATCTTGCTTCGATTCAGGCTTGGATACCAGTCGAAATGCTCGAAGAAGTCATCGAAAATTGGACTCAACGGATGGACCATCTGAGATGTAGGCACGGCCAACATTTGAAAGAGATAATTTTCAAAAGATAAATACCAAAAAATTTTCTTTTGAATGATAATAGACATTCCCCATTAAATTTAAATTTTCTGTGGTTTTTTATTTAAAAAGTAAGGAACTTCGAAAAGTGTCACCTATATAAATGATCGAGCTGAATCGATTTAGCCATGTAGGTCTGTATATACGCGAACTAGTCCTTCAGCTTTTGAGAATTTAGAATGAAGTGCTTGTATCGAAAGCTTTTTTATTTGACGATTCTAAAACAATGGTGTAATCTCCGAAGAAATGGTTCAGAATGGATGACTATAACGTTTAGTTGCCATACAAACTGAACGACCGGAATAAAGTGCTTGTGTTGAAATCTTCTTAATTTGACGAGATATCTTCAAAAAATTTGGCATGAGTTATTGTTCGAGGCAACGGTACAATCTCCAAATTGTTCAGATCGAGTCACTATAGAATATAGCTGCCATACAAACTGAACGCTTAAAACCAAGTACTTGTAAGATTTATTTTGTATTTGTGAATGGTATTTTAACTTCGGTTCAACTGAATATTCAAGATTCAATGCATGTGACTTTTTCAGAAAAATCCCCGAGGAAATAATTAAAATAAATGTGCATAACAAACACCCGCACTAAATCCGATTATAGTACAAGTATAACATTTAAGCCTAAAGCCTTTAACAAACCGTAAATTATATTTAGAATGTAATTACCACACTCATTAAGATTATATGTAGCTACCAAGTATGCTAAAAAGACCGTAAGTTTCGTAGTAGACCCAGTCGACTAACACACGTGTTTAATTTTCAGAGCAGTTTCAATTGGTTCATGAGACGAAGCGTTTTGAGGGTGACGTTAGTATTTGCTAAATAATCGTTAAAATAAATCTGTTGAGTTAATGAAAGTGTGGCTTGTTAAATGTTATTGGGACTCTGTGCCAGCTGAAGCAACTATTCGAAAGGAACTAATATTAACTAACAGTTTACAGCAACACTAAGGAGGAACCTTTCACAATTTGAAATGCATTGAATAGTATTCCTTTAGTATGTCGTTGTTGTAATCTTACCTCCCTCTGCTACAGCCCCTGAACAAACAGCAAACTTATTGAATGAAGCAACATGTGAGAATCGTTATTAAAAGATATATCTTAAAAACGCTTTCATAATTAATTATTACGCTGATAGTGTCACACGCGTGGAGATAATTATATTGAATAGTTGGAATTTATGTAACAACAGTGCAATTATAACAATTTGATGTAATAGATATAGTAGTATATATAATATGTACATATGTATGTATGTATGAAGTTAAGCAGTTTTATTGCATTTACAGGGTGGGCTTTAAGGGAATCAATGTTAAATTTGGACTTTTAAATTTTTTGTACATTGTATTTTTTGTTGGAAAGTAGGCGGTGTGACCAAGGGTTATTAGTCGATTATGCTTTTCCAGACATAAAAGATGGTACTCAACAAAATTCTGTCTGTAGCTAGTCTACTAAGTAATACAGGCAATAGAACTTTAGTACCGAAGTGGTGGCATTAATGGAAGTGTGAAAAGAGCTGAGAGGATATATATAGCTAGCAAATCTGATAAAACAAAATTTCTTTACCAAACAGTGGATAGTATTAATAAAAGAATAAGCGGTCATTTATTGCTCGGGTCTCACGTTTTAGGTTATTTTATGGTTATCGAAACCCTTTGAAAAACTTAATATAAATAACTGATGAGAGTTAAGATAATTATCGAAGCCTTTATAAATAACATATTGGGTATTGAATGTACCATATTAAAATTTATATACAAGGTGTGTTCAAAGTAAAAGGTGAATTTGGAATTTTTTTGACAAGTACTTATTTATTCTTCAATATCTTTTGTATTTGGTTCCCTTCAAAGTGCTCCCCTTCGCATATAATACACTTGTGCCAAGGCTTTTCCCAATCCTCGAAACACTACTGAAATGCGCTTTTTGGTATGGCTATCAGCTCTTTCTTCGATTCTGACTTGATCTCATGAAGTCATCTCAATTGTGGCACAACGCTTTCCTTTCATTGATTTCTTCAGTTTTGGGAATATGAAGGGAATTTCGTCACAACTCCTGAGTGATACTAATGCGACATTGCTTTGGCTCAAAATTTAGAAATTTTGGAAGAATTTTCGCTGCTACACGTTTCATGCCTAAAATATTCGAAAAAATAGAATGGCATGAGCTCTGCAACTTCCCTAATAGTGATTCGACGATTTTCAAGAATAATTTTTCTCACTGTTTCGATGTTTTCTTCGCTTGTTGACGTGGTCGCACCTCTAGTATGCTCATCGTCATCAACATTTTCTCGGTATTCTGTAAAGCGCTTGTACCACTTATAAACACTTTTTTGAGACAAAGTGGACTCACCGAATGCCACAGTCAACATTTCAAGCGCCTTGGACCACTTTATTCCATTTTTAACGCAAAATTTAATACAAGAGCATGATCCATTTCTTTAAAAAATCAAAAATCGAAGAGCACATAAAAACTTGACTAACCTTTTCTGTTGTCAAAAACAAACTACTAATCGAAATTGGCTCCTAATGCAGCACATGGTAAACATATGTGTCCGATTATAGCAAAAACAAAATATCGATAATCGAATGTACACAGCCCGCGAAAAGTCAAAATTCACTTTTACCTTTAGACACACCTCGTATGTAGGTAGACATATGTACAATAGTATGTATATTAGGTGCATACACACAGAATTGAGCTCGTAATAGCTGCCGATCGAACCACAAGGTCTGAGAGAAGATTAGGCTCAAAGTATTAGGTTTTCCTCTACGTAAATTGTAAGCTTCGTGATCTTAGATGTCCGGGGTATTGTTTACTGGTGCGTATTACCTTTATTAAAAAATAAATAAATATCTAACAAAGTTTAAGTAGTAATTCAAGTGGATATCTTCCACATTGTTATTGTAAACATTGGCATTTGTAACAGAAAATATTAATGGTGAAATGTTTGTATAATCTAAAATGGAATTTAAAACGATGACATTTCATTTTGTAAGATAGTCTATAATACGTGTGTATGTTGTATATAAATATGATTTCACAATATCACAAAAGTGGTTGCTGAATAATATTGTCGATGGGCTAGTCAAATTCAAAAAATGTGAGTGTGACAATAGAAATTCTTGCATTATATGGAATAACATTCTAAAATTTCAATTAATTACGTTATTTAAATTTTTTAATTCAAAAGCTATTAACTAGTTCGTGTGCAAAGTCACGCCCACCATTGTATACTTATGGAATTTGTTAAGCAATCTTCCACGCTTCGGAACAAAACTTCACATTTATATTGTACAATTAAAAGGTAATCATAAAATTATTTTAATTACATTTATCGTATCGCGAAATTCACCGTACTAGAACAGGAAGCTGCGAATTGCAAACCACTTGCAATGAAACATTTCAGCACCCCAGTTATTTATGACTTGATAAAGTAATATTTATTCCAAGAATTTGCGGCAGCAATAATAAAAAAAAACGAAACGTTTGGAAAGTTGTGGAAATTGCATGCATTATAATAGGACAAAAAGTACACTCCCCTATTGGAGGTTCGACTGGGCATGCACTTACAGACATATGTATTTACATATGTAGACAAATATACATATATGCAGACATATCATATAATATATGTATATACATATATGCAAATCTTGTCGTACGATTTTGCTAATAAACAGAATGAACGCTTACTAAATACTTAGCTGAGAAAGCTATTTGAATTTGAATTTACATAGAAACAAATGCAAATACATGCACATGTATGTACGTCGGTTATGTTAATTTGCATTTAAGTACGCATGAACTTAAAGTTGCAGTCGATTGCATAAGCAATGACTATACAAAAATTACATCGATTATAATTATTTGTATTTGTCACCAACGGAAGAGCAGGCTTCCTGTTAAGATTCTTGTTAAAGCATATTTATCTAAAGAATTTCATGTTATACGCATTTGCTATCTACTTTCGCTTTCTTATCTCTTTCCTTACTGTGTCTAATTATAGCCTAACGTCGGTATTATCGCTTAGACGTGTGACTTCTATTTTATTTTTACTAAAATGCGAACTTATAATTTACTACACAGCTTTATTTACAATATTATCGCTACTTTGTAGGCGATTTTAGTTTTAATAAAAACAACAAATATCTTCACTTGACTTAATTGAAACGAAGTGGGCGTGGATAGCACCCGATCGTTTTCAGCGCGTGCGACTTGTGTTTAGATAATGAAATTAGCAATAAAACATGACTAGAAATGTGTATGCGTTGTTTAATACAAGTGTTTAATACAAGTGACTTGTCTGTGATAGAGTGAAATAGAGAGTTTCTAAATGAGTTTTATGTCAATAAAACAAATGGATTTTTAAAATTTGTTGAGTAATTGCGATTTTAATTATTTCTCATACATATTTGTGTAAGTCTTTAATTTAGGTACTTTTTCTTCTATATACATATATATGTATATACTGTGACTAAATTTAATAAACGGTTTCTCTGATCAGATTTTCCTGAGTTTTGGAAAAAAAATTGTAATTGCCGATCTTATTTTGGATAACATCACAGCAAGTCACGACAACGGAAACGATCACAAGTAAACAAGAGTTTCATTAAGAATTGTAAATTGGGCTTTAAAAAAACTCACAGAAACTTTAACAGAAAGCTCGGATAGCGCTATTGGGTTAACCGGTGATTTAACCGCAGGGATGGTAACCTCAAAATCATATTTTCATTCTCTTAAGTACAGAAAATTAAAAAAAAATATTTCTAAATCGGTAAGAACTTACAATGTTCTGAAATACCGGGTGCATATAACCTCAGTTATTCATGTAGAATTTTTTTTGAAAAATAAAAATTGTTAATTAATAATAATTAATTGATAATTAAAATTGTTATCTCCATTTTATTTCTTACTCCTGATTTTGGAGAATAAAGTTATGAAATTGAAATAAATTCTGTGAATATTCTGTTTTGATCGAATTTTACAATATATATACATACATACTCGTACATACACCCAAAGGTATTAGTTTAACTACATTGCATATTAACGAATATCATGTTAATTAATTTTAATATCAGAGTCGGAGTGAACGTTTTGTTAGGCTGGATTGCTAATATCAGATAGGAGAACAGCACTAAAGGCTAAAAACGTTAGCGAATTAATATTTTTAAACAAAAACAAGTGGATAATTGAGTAATATAGTACTCTACCGAAACGTATTTTAAGTATAAATTTCTTGATCTCATATTACATTAGTAAATGTATAAAAATGTACATTTTTATAAGGCGTCAGTTCACAGAGCAGTTTTTATAGTAATTTGGAAATTTTTATATGTAACTTTATATATTTTTTTTTGTGTTTTCTGTTATTGTAAATGTTTTGTTCTATAAAAAATCCAAAGATTATTTCATAAAAATGAAATGAACAAAGTAATAGCCGCTTAATTTAAACCAGCAAAAAGTAAGAATATTTCAAGGGAAAAAACTATCGATAGTATGTTTTAAATATCGAGTAGTAGAACTATCGATAGTTTTGCAGCTCTACTCCAAATACAAGTACAAACATTAATAAGAAAGTGAAGCTTTGGTGCGTCAGTATCAAAAGGAGTGAGTGCTTGTGAGACCACCAGAACCAATTCCGACAAATAACTAACAACGCTTACTAAATACTTAACGACATCCATAAGCCCCAATGACAGCGAGAGTTTAAGCTTTTAGAAAGGCTCTAGAAGGAGACACTAAATAAAAATTGCATATTAAATGCCTTTTTTATGTTGCTATCGTCTTTAATACTTTTAGTGTGCGAAATAAGAATTGTTTAAAGGCATAGAAAATAATGTTACTCATACGCCACAAGGCACACATATTTTTTAAGCCTGGACCGTTTGAGTATTAAGTATGTCATGAAGTTTGTAACGCACAGAAGGAAACGTCGGAGACCCTATAACCTATATATACATATACGTGATCAGTATGTCTATCCCTCTGTTCACTCATTTGTCAAAAACATTGATATCGAACCACTATAAGATATAGCAGCAATACAAACTGATCGATAAAAACCAAGTCCTTGTATGGAAAACTTTTTTATTCGCCAAAATCGGTATAACCTAAATTTTTTCTGCTGGTTTATTGTATTTTTAGAGTTATTTAATATAAAATAGGCATTATAAAACTTATTTTATAAAAAATAAATAGTAGTATTGAAAGTATGCTATGTAGGTATTATTTATTATTATCAGCAATTTTTATATTCACAAAACTTACCGTATACTCGTAAAGCTAACCTTCATCTAACCTGTACGGCATGATATGCACTCTCTTGATATAAGTATAAAACAAAGTTGTAATTTTTCCAGAGACAGCTATTGTTTAGCATTTCGTTTGATTGATTTTGTGATTTACGACCTCGAAATATTTAGTAAGTTCGAAAAAATAACATTAGTGCATTCATAATACATTCGTACTGAAAAACGTAAAGAGCAACAAAATTCCTGCATGTGTATAAATACCTTGATGATAATTTATAAGTCATATTAACCGCTACATGTGGACACAAACGTCACTACGTGGGTGAAAACGAGTTATTTTTAAACGGTTATTTCGGATGGTAATGTGGGAAAGAAAAATAATTATTTCAGCAATTCCCACCACCTATACCTAAGTGAGAATGAATTCAACCTGGTAGGTGAGCAGTCTAACTTACTGACCTGAAAATTCGTAAAGTATTTGACAGATTTTCCAATCACATTTAGTCAAAGGGCAAAGTACCGTACATTATAATATTTATTAGCTGAGTGTTGGGACAATATTATTGCGCAAAAGACAAACGTACGATGTATGGTAAGTATGTAGTGCAACCAAAGCAAATACCTATATGCGAAAACCTTACCAAAAAACAAACTCCAAGTCACTTGTCTGTTATTTAAATTAAGTAGAGGAATTTTTAAGTGTCTTCTAGCAACGACGAGTCACCTCTTCCAAGGTTAGCACAACATCTACAAACGTTCATAGCTATTTCCAGAACTTATATGCGCCTCTAGCTGACGCGACCGGTGGTTTTCTGTGCCACACGCCGGTGGAAAACACCCAATGGCCCTGCTGTCTGCAGCCCCCTTTACAGCGCCATTGCCGCCTAGTCCACGCTTCATGTCACGCGCGTGGCTGTTTCTATTCTTTTTTTACATTTCTTTTAATAAGGCCAACAGGAGTCACACACACAGCCATATGCACTAGTGATGCAAAAGCACTGCGATTGGCGCAAATCGTAGGAGTGGCACAACAACACTAACACTGCAATAAAAGCAAAGAACAAGCTGTAATCTTTAGCAGGAAAATGTGGTTGAGCAGGAAAGTGTTGTTGCACAGGAAGTGCTTGCTATTTGTGAGTCGAAGAGATATGGAAAAAAAATGTTTACACGCTTAAGGAAATGAGGTAACGCCATTCAAATTATAATGCATACTTGTATTCATTCATATATACATACATACATACATATAATATATTGTGTTGCAAATAAGCGCTCTGTGTGAACGCCGGTTGTATGCAATTTTAACTGAAAATATGAGGTCTTAATTGCATCAGCCAAATATGGTGTGCTCATCATGCTGTGGCCGCTTGTGGAAACGAATACACATTTTATAGCTTCTCTCTTTATGGATGCTAACTGTAAAACGCAATTGGCTCACACCTCCCACATGTGTAATACATTTGTAACCTCTGCTACCATTCCTCTCAATTCTATTCGCTCACATACAACGCCGCTCGTCCTCTTCGAAAGCACACAGAGAAATGCCCTTGAGTTTGTCCTTTCCACCCTCGAACAAAAGCCTACGCATATTTTTTTTTCCTGATGTTTAGGTTTGATGTGATATATTTCAGTTTTGGCTAGTTGCTACATTCGTGGTTTGCTACAAAGTCAGTGCTCGGATGATTGCGCTTAAGTTAGTGAGTATACTCAGCAACAGAATTCGATATTTAGGCTCTCCAATAAAGTGGTCAAAGAAGTGTTCATGTGAGAGACAAAGTTACCAATACATATGTACTTACGGTAGGCACGTATGGATGTAAAATCTGCAAAGAGCGACAACTGTGTTGAAACAAAAAAGGTGCCACCAACAGTGCTCCGGAGCAGAAAAGCACAAAAGCTTTGCCTGTCATGGGACCAATGAAAAAAGAACATAAAAAATAAGTATGACGATGGTAATCACCAGCTAGCCAGAAACAGCTGGTATAACAGTAAAGAAGGCTTGGCCGCAAAATGGAAAAATAATACTACAAATAACCGCAACTAAAATTGTATACAACAACATTTAAGGGTGGCACGAAAAGAGACGTAAGCACAACCGCGTACATATGTATTGAGAGTGGGCGATTTTGCTGGGTGTTATTGGGCTGGACTGAATGTGACTGTTTCAATGAATGACTACCGCTGTATTGACTGACGCCAGCAACCCGTAACTGCTCCCAAAGTGTCGGCAAAAGTGATTGCGGGGTAACAAAACTCAAAAGCAATGAGAAACAGTACGGTAGGGTGCATATGACCAATAATATATAGTATATAAGTACATATAAGAATGCGCTGATCTAAAGTATGACGCGTTGGTTGCTTTGACGCGTGTGGGTTTTATGGATTAAAACAAAAACAAAGATGAAAAATTAAGAAAAAAAATGCAGGTACATACAAGCATTTAGTCTGGTGCATACGTACCTTCAAATGCTTGTTTATCTACATACATTTTCTTTAAAAAAAAATACCAAAATTAAGTAAACAAAAAAAGTTTATATTACAGTGATGGCGGGGAAATAATAACTATTCAAATACCCTGAATGTAAAATGTAAATTAAAAGGCCTGTAAATTAATTTTAAAGAGTGAGGATAGCAACAAAAAGTACGATAATTAAATCATAAAAATTTTATTAATTCTTGTTTTAAGATCAAAATCAACAGAGTTTAATAAAGAATTTAACATATCAAAAGAATTTTTTTACTGGCGAAGACTGTAAGAAGCACAATGTGTTGCATACTTTTTGGCATAACGTAAACAAGCAGAAAACTTCTCCACTTGAAAAAAAATACACACATACATACGTGCGTGCAAACAAATTTAATGCCACTTATAACAAAATAAATAATAAATATAAATTTCTTTAAATAAACCCTAGTTGGAGATTTTCACCTGCATTTCAAAGGAAATTATTTGTTTTCCAAAGATTTTATATTGGCAGGTTTGACTTCGTCGTGTAGATAAAATAATTTAGTAAGTGAAAATTCAAAAGCGTCTATGGCGCACAATTATTCAAAACCAGAATGCCATTTGTGTGTGATAAATTATAATTAAGCAGTATGGTTTTTAAAAAAATGTCCTGAGTGATTTACTTGTCACGACTGTCGCGGGAACGTAAATGAATTATTGTCCGAGGCAACGGTACAATATCCACAGAAATTGTTTTTTTAAATCAGGCCACTTTAGCATACCGGTCTGACCGGTCAAAATAAACGACTTGTGAGAAAAACTTGTACCTATGAAGAGTATTTTAGTTAATGTACAACCGAAGTTAACGCTTTTTTTATGCAAGTTTGAAAAATTTGATATCCAATATAGTCAAACTGATTTCACTAATATATTATATATGATTACAATTTTTTAACTGAATATCAGTTAAAAACCTTATAAAAATTTTATTGAAATTATTTTTTGATTATGAAAATTTTACCAATTTTAAAACGTTAGGAAATTACTAGTATTGTAAAACCTTATGCATATGAGCTTATAACTTTAAAATATAACATTAGTTTTGTCAATTCCTTATTTATTAAATGATAGGTTATTATAGTGTAAAACTAGTCTATCTTTTATTTATTTAAATATCAATTTATTAAAGCTTATAGCAAATTAAAGAAATTAGTGCAAACATTAAGCATTTAAATATTCTCTTTGTTGCTATCCGTGTCCTCTACATTTTTTTTACCTTTCTGTGAGCACTTTTCCAGAATTGCATCAACTTCGTCGCACTGACTTGACATGTCTTTAATAGCGTTTTGAAATGCATCCAGTGTATTGAGAAATTCCTTAAGGTACATTGCACTAACACGTAACTGTTTTTCCTTTTGACGTAAAATTTCCAATTCATTATTTTTATGATAGTAATCGTAGTTATTTAGACAAAAATGAGTTTGCTGTTGCAAATCAGTAACTTTCTCTATTGCGTGTTCTATGTATGCGTTCATTGTATTATCTGAAAATACTGCATATTTTAATTTAATATATTTACGGATGGAATATACCACCAACTTACCTGTTACAAGTAATTATAAAATAAAGTAATGCAAATTCCAATTAATTACACTTTTCGAATAATTTTACTAAAAATTATAATTACGCGGGTACTAATTGTCAAAATTTGCGGACACACGATATGTTTAATAAGTTAAGCTGTGTCTAGTGTACAGCCAACTTATGATCATCTGATTCGCGAATGTGCTCAATTATTTAAATTTATTTTAACAACTTTATACAAAGATGTGTCTCGAAAATTTATAGAAAATATATGAATCGCAAATATTTAAATTAATTTTCTGAATTAATTCTGTTTATTTAATTATCAAATAGAATAACCTTATAAAATATGGCATCCCTGTTGGTAACTTGAATTTGTTTTGACATTTATCAATATTACTCTAAAATTAATTTTCATAAGCATTATAGCACGTGGTGACAGCGCAAAAGTTTCCAAACAAATTTTGCAAAAAAACCTAGTGTATATTTAAGATTAAATAAAAATGGTAATAATGAAAACTAAAAAAGTTAAGAAACATTTTAAAACACGAAAATTTCAACAAGTAACTGAAGTAGAGGAAAATGAGGACGTTGAGCGTGAAGTAATTCCTAAAGATGTACGTATCATAGCACAGGAAGTGCAAATAGTCCGTTCGCTTGCCTGTAATGATCTCAACAAACGTAATCGCCAAATCCGTAAGCTACGCAAATGGTTGCAATTACGGTCACGTAGTTCTTTTCCTTTCTCAGAGGAGGATTTTCTCCGCATCTGGAAGGGACTATACTACAATATGTGGATGTCAGATAAGCCATTGGTGCAAGAAGATTTGGCCGAACAATTGGGCAAATTAACTGAATGTTTCGATGGTGATGTGGCAACTAGTGTGAATTTTTTCGGCGCGTTCATGAAAACAATGTGCAATGAATGGTTCGGCATTGATCAATGGCGTATTGACAAATTCATGATGTTGGTACGACGAATGCTGCGTTATATGTTCCGTGTTTTGAGAGGCGTTGGCTGGACTAAAGACTCCATAAAATTATTTAATGAACATATGCATCTGACAGTTTTGGCTGAGGAAAGTCCTGCTATAGGTTTGACAATGCACTATCTGGACATTTTCTTTGAAGAATTGGCAAAAGTATCTGAGGGTAACATTAACGCCGAACAAGTGGGCGACTTCGTGCTTCCGTTTGTAACTTATTTATCTAAAGGCCGCAATGCTAAACTAGTATCGCACTGCCGCTCACAAGTGTTGGAACATTTACTGTACCAAAGCACTTTAGGTCGTGAATATACTGAAAAATTTAACGCATGGAAACAAATGGGTTTCCCTACTGAATCAATAAACGACTTAGAATTAGTTGAGGAAGATGCAGTGGAAAACGGAGAAAACGAAGATAGAGAGGAATATGAAGGAGCGGAATTACAATCTACCGAGAAATACTTAGATCCACGTGCAGGAAATGTCGATGTGTTCATGCCCGAGCTGCCGTTAAACGCTAAATATGTAATTGATGAATTGGAAAGACTTTTATATAAAGATGATGATATTACTACAAAAATGAGGATAAGTTTGCGTAAGCAATTAGAGATTTTCCAAATCTATCAACGTGGTGAATTCCCATTGGGAGTGAAGACTATGCCGCGCTTTAAGGCAGACAATGAAAAACCACTTATGAAAGACAAAATAGAAAAATTAGAAAATGTTGAAAACGAACTGTTTGGTGTTGGACGAAAACTAAAGCAGTTGAACAAAAGAAAACGGCGGAAGTTGCTCAAATCATTGAATTTCACCGAAGTCGATGAATCGAATTTCGATCAAACTATTATGAAAGCTTTACCAAAGCAATATCTAAAGGAACGTAAGAGAAAATCGAATGCGTTCATGAATAACTGGGTAGAAGAAGAATTAGGTGCAGAAGATATATTGCCAACAAAGAAACAGAAAAACAAGAAGAACAACACCGAAAAATCTAACGGATTCACTGAGCTTGAAGCAGAAGAAACTAGCAATTTTGATGGTGTTAAAGATAACACTCAAGGTGTAGACGAAATCATAGTTCCAACACAAAACGACAAAGTAGAGGAAGAAAAACTACAAAAAACTCCAAAACGTAAAGACTTAGATTCTACAAAAGCAACAAAAGAGCAGCAGGCAGAAAAAGTTGATACCAAGCACAAAAAACAAAAAGGAGGATCAGATACGAAGGCTAAGACTGTGTGGGATACACCATTGGCAGAAGGTGAAATAGAATACTTTATACCATCGCGAAAAATCCAATTGAAAAATGCCAACGCAAATCTTGTGCCAAATCCCTTGGCAAAGAAACTGCAAAATAATGCATCTACACCGGTGAATACAAAAAAAGGGACGAGTACATCGAGCAACCCCACTCCGACGGGCAGTATAAAGCGTGTAAAGATAGCACTTAAGCATAACACTGCGCAAAATCCTAGTGAGTATATAAAGCAAATTAAGAGTTCTCCAAATTTGCCATATGATGCGGACAAGAAGCCTGGAAAGGGCTTGTTGAAACCCAACTCAATGCCTAGTCCAATTAATCCATTTTATAAAAAGAAAATTGGTTTACGCCTAGCTAACGATACGATTTGAACTGTATGTGTACCCAGCGATATCTGCGTAAAGTAAAGTTTTTATATTTTAATTCTATAGAAGTTAAGTAAATTTAACTTATAATACATATGTACTTATGTATAAGTTTCATGATTGAATTGTCTCAATTGAATACAAAATAAAGTGTATGAAAGTTTTTAAATATGTAAAAGAAGTTTTATTGCTGCCTATTACAAGTATAAACACTTAAGGATATTATTATAGTTTCACCCGATGAACATGGAGACATTATTATACGCATCTAGTCGAACTCGAAAACGGGTTTGCCTTCACTGTCCCATGTGTTTTTGCACTTACGGAATGCACACACAAGATAAAGTGCTGCAAGAAATGATATGGTTTAGTTTTACAATCCATGTATAAATGATGGTTATATGTGGAACAAACAAAAGTTCATATTTTTATATAATCAAACAGTTACGTGAAAAATTGTGGGTAGTATCATAATTATACTTCGATATTTACTTGTAGCTTCCCATTCGGACTGCGAAAGCGTTCCTACGGATTTTGATGAACCTCCTTTGAAATATGTTTGTAAATGCTGAAACTCGGGATCCTTCCCTTGTCGATTTGGTATTACAGTTTCCAAACCATTCATACGTTGCAGCAGCGAGCGGCCTGTAAATATTTTATATTTACATAAATATGTGTACGTATATATTTGGAAAAAAAAATTTTTTATTTTCACCCTTTTCCAACGACTCTTTGTAGTAATCTGCAAAAGGTGCTTTACGCTCTAGCTTTAAACCATGTTTGAGACACAATTTAACTAATGTTGGAAAATGCACTAGAAATTCTGGGCAATCGACGACGCCCTCTAAATGAAATTGATATTTAGCACCAAAAAGAGGTGGTGGATCTGTGTCACATATGAAATCGATTTTATAAATTTCATTACCGATGCTTCGAGGATTTGGCGATTGACGCAAGCGACGCATTATTTCATTTGCATCCGGGATAGTCGCTATAAAATATCCACCCGGTTGCAGGCATTCGGCTGCATTGCGAACCATGCACTCGGCTTGAGTCAGAGACTCAAAAGAGTAGTGAAATGCAAATTGGCATGACACCAAATTCAATTTAAGTGATTTATCTTTGTAGCGCTCACGAAGACGTACCAAAGTGGCATCACAGGCAAAGAATTCAGCTGAAAATTTGCTAGCGAATTTTGACTTATCCGCACGCGATTGCATTTCTTCATATCGCTTTTTACACTGGTCCACAGACACCTCGGCAATATCGGTACAAATAAGATGGGTTATATTGGCTTTTTCCCATTTGAGAAGATCACCACCTTTACCGCAACATAAATCTAGAACACGCATAGGATCACCTATACGTTGCTGTTCTTTAATGCGTGCTAAATACTCTGCGATGAGTTGACTCTTTAACCAATTGTTAAAGTTTCGCATGTAAACAATACGCGATTGGAGGCGCTCCTTGCGTCCGGTTTCCTTCAATTCATTATAATGCGAAGCAACTATGTGCATATTGCCATCAGTTATTTGTTCAGCAACATCTTCATGTTGTTCTTGTTCTTCTTGTTGTAGCGGCAGAATTCTGTCGAGTTGACAGTCCTTGACCGGATAAAATCTGGGTCCGTTCCGGTTATGTAGACCCGATTGTAGTGGGAGCGGAGCAACATCTTTATCTGGACCGCCGCTGTCACTTTCTTCTTTTGTACCGCACTCCTTTTGTTTGGCAGTGTTTTCAATACATCGCATCTTATGAATAGGTTCGTCGCTGTCATCACTTTCGGCCGAAAGCGAGACTACCTGTTGTTGCAATCTAATATTTTGATACCCAGTGGAAGTGGATTGCAATCTTTGTGCATGCTCACCGTCACTGCTGTCATCGTCTTCACCTTTACTACTATGGCTTTCAGTTATTTCAGTCATTGAACACGATGCAATTAATAATAAAAAATTCAAAAATCTAGAAAAATTAGCGTGTAATTTGACTGAAAATAAACTGACAACTGTGTTTCACCAATCAAATGTAAAACAGAATTGAGGTTTGTTTCATATGGTCTATGCTCAACATTTTTGGAACAGCTCCCTTTACAGTGCTACCACTAGTTTCCACGAAATTATGAATCAATATTATTAACAAATACAATAAGAAAATAGTAACGTATTTACTAATGTAATTACCAATGCAAGTCAATTGATATATCGGATTTAACTTTTATTTTTTGTGACACTTTTATGACATTTCTCGATGATTTTCTTTACCGTTTGCACAACAGCTGGCCATTTTAATATTTTTTCACCACAGCTTTCCATTATTTCTTTTGACTGTGCTCAAAGATTACATTGAATGGGTAATTTTAGTTCAACATTTGTGTATGTTTTTATAGTTATTTGAATTTTGTGAAATTTTATTAATATTTTAGTTAGGCTTCTTTTAGTTAATCATAATGGCATAGTTAAATAGAATACAAGTATCACGCATAATAATTCACGTAGAGTCTATAAGCAAAATATAGCACAAGAACTATTTTAAACTAAATCGTTTGTAACCAGAATCCACAATATAGAAATTAGAAATATGCATAAACACTTCTTGCGTTTGGCAGATAAGATAAAAACAAACTCTGCGCTTATGATTAGTAATAAATAATAAGACAAATTAAAGATTGCTGTGGTACAGCCAACCTAAAAGCGTTACACAAAAGCAAACATGTCCGAAATTGGTGATCTAAATGCTACCAAAGAGGCCGCAACACGGGAATGGATAGAGCAACAGAAACAACTCGGCCACTCTGAAATAGAAGAGGATGAAATTTCGTCTATAGCGGAATCCTCAATAATTTCCAGCAGTGATGGCGATTACGAAACAGAAGCTGAAGAGGATTTTGATCTAACAAATAATACATTAACCACTACAGTATTGGGTAGTCAGTATAGTAAGTATTGGTTGTTTAATGTAAAACATTACTATATACATTTTTTTTCTGTTTATGGTATAAATTATACAGCGCCCACTGATATGTCGGTAGTAATAGAAAATCTTCGACAGTTACTGAATTCTATAAATAGTGTTCAGACGTTGGAAAATGTACATATTGAAAATTCTTCAAATGTTTCGATCGGCAACGTCACAAACATTAATGGCAATATACAGATAATACAGCGCATTAAAAAGCAACTGCCACTTACGAGGCGACAAACTTCTAGCACCAAAAATAATAATGAATCGCCAATAACACCCGTTAGCGAGGAGCAAGAGGAGCGTGTCAAACGGGATGCATTTATCGATCGCATAAGTAAATTTCTATTTTATCACGGAAGTTTAATTATAATAAAACCTATTAAGTATTCATAATTATTATTGCTTTTAAATAAGTTATATAGTGTCTGAACTAGTACGTCTTTTCAGAATATAAAATACCCAAAGAGCTTTGTGCCGTCATTCCACGGAGCACTTGGCTTGCCCAAAAGCCCATGGAGGATTACGATTACATAGAAGAGTCGGTAAAGTTAGTGATTGTATGTAAGTATTTTTAAAATGCATTTAGTGTTTATGATTTCTGATTGGTTTTAATAAAATGTGTGTGTATAATTTGCAGCACATACCGCGACAGAGAGCTCGGAGAAGCAAGCGATAAATATACGCATAATTCGAGACATACAGGTATAATTATATATTTAAATATGTGTGTAGCAACAACAAAACAAAAAAAATAAGATTAGAAGAAAAAGTTTCATTTATATGTATAATTTATATAATACGTCGTTCAATTTAAGTGTGTCTGCGATAAGATATTATATGAAAGAGATATGATAAAGTATTTTCAATCGTAAGACCAAAAGAGGCCATATTTTCAGATTTGATTAGCTTTTCCTTCATTCTGTCTATATATTATTTTAAAAAGTTTGTTCAAGCGCTAATTAAATTTTTTTTTAAGAATTTAATTATTTTTTTAAGAATTAAATTATTTTTTTAAGAATTAAATTTAATTTAAGAAAAGCATTTGTTTATTGAAAATATTAAGAATTCCAAAAACATATCCGCTTTTAGTGCTTTCACATCGAATCACGCGAATGGAACGACATCGCCTACAACTTTCTGGTCGGTTGTGATGGCAATGTTTACGAAGGTCGCGGATGGGGTGTGGTGGGTGCCCACACAATTGGCTACAATTCAAAATCCATGGGTATTTCATTTATTGGTTGCTTCATGCGACAATTACCCACCGAAGCTGCATTGAATGCTTGCAAAAACTTTTTGAAGAGGTTAGTAGTTTTTGAAACCGTGTATTTGCTACCGTACTGCTTTGTGCTAATTCAATTTCATTTTGCAGAGGTGTTGAGGAAGGCCGTTTGGCACCAGATTACAAACTTATTGCGCATTGTCAGTGTCGTTCGACAGAGAGCCCTGGTCGTAAACTATATGAAGAGTTGCAAACTTGGAATCATTTTTACAATATCGGTGAAGAGGAGGACAATGAATAGTATGCGATATGGCAACATAAATTTAAGAAACCAAACAAACTTCAGAGCTGTGCACGTTACTACTAATTGCCAGAATGGAATTAAATAATAGTATTCTCTCTATCACTATAAGCTTTAAATATTATTGATATATGCTAATAACCATTTACATATAATGCATTTCATGTATCTAAGATTTTTTTAATATAATAAAAAATACGTTTGTTTTAATTTTTTCGTAATTTCTTAATTTATTATTACTCGAGCGAAAACAGAAACCTAAATTCCTGTAAAACAACTGAAATTAACCATGATGTCGTCGGTCGCTACTGATAAATGCGATAGTATACCAAAGGGAGACTTAAGCTTCTTCAATAGTGCGGCCTGTAAAATGAACAATACAATACAATTATTATATTTATTTGTTTATACAAGTAAGGCAAAATAAAATAGGCGATAAACGAGGAATTTATAAAAAGCGAATTACGAATGTATGCAGGTCAACAAACCGCTGCCAAAGTGATAAGGCGCGGTGGACCAGCATGCGGTAATTTTGTGGACAACTTTGAAAACAACTTGTTAGGTACAATAGGGTGATTAGTAAATAAAAAATTAAATAATAAACAATGTAATTAATATTGCCCAGTTAAAACAAAAGAAGTAAAAGAACAAATCAATGCAGTAACTCGTTTTCGATTGTTTGATTGTTTGTGTTCTCAACTAACTTTTTAAACAATACAAATTTGTGGGAAGGTAACAGATTAACAGTCATGATTTGCGTGTACTTTTTATAATTATTTTTTATAATTTTCAAAGATAAAAATGTGTAAGCATATTTGTAAAATTATTAGGGGAATCACTATTCGAAAATCTTATAATATTTAACGAATATTTGATTATTGCGTATTTTTTGCTTGTTTATGGGGGATTCACGAAAATTTTGCAATGCGGGGGGTGCTGTTAAGCAATTTAAACATCTTCTAAAACTTTGTGAAGCACACTTTTATGTTTGTTAGTAGCATTGTTGGCATATCAACAAATAAACTGGCGATAAATCGCCCGGTTGCTGGTAATTTTCACTTACAACATCAAATACGTTGTTTAGGCTAATATAAATAACTAGCATGTGGCTACTTTACTTCTCATCTGTAAATTTAATAAAATATACATGTGTAAAAAAGTGTTTAAAAACCAATTATTCCAACTTTATAAACACAATTTGTATCCTATCAAATGCCTTTTTACTTATTCTTAATTTTAACACTTACGTGCAGGTTTGCCATCGGCCCATGGTGTGAACTTTACATGAGTCTCATTGCGCTTAGCGGCCTACAAATAACAGTAAAAAGTAGATAACTTATGGGCACATCACTAAGGATTCATTACTTTCTCAACTTACATCGGTACGAAGGTTGGTCTTCAGTGCTTGTCGCACAACACGAGCGCAGACGTTAGAGTATTGGATGTAGCTAGAAATGTATCAAAATTATGCCATGTTCCATTGCAATTACGTAATGTGTTAGTAATGAAACAGTATACATAAATTTGTGCCGTTTATTACATTACTTCTTTACAATTTATTTATGCTACTTACGTAAGTCCAGCGGCTCTCCATGCGTTAGTCATTTTTCTTTGAGTTTATTTTTTGCTTTTAACACAATTAGAAAAATTAGCAAAATCTTCTGCAGTCACCGATAATGCTGTATTTCTCGTCAAAAAACTACTGTATGACAGCTGGAAATGTGACAGTTGTTTTGACAATTCCACTGCAAAGACATTTTATACACAGGGTGACGAGTGCGTGGCACAGTGTTCACAAAAAAAATAGAATATTTGCAAAGATATATTAAAAAGTTATATGAGCTTTGTAGCATACTTTCAGGCTGACAATTGTTTTTTGCCTATTACATATTGTGTTGTCCATGGCGTATGCGTGACTTTTGTTGCTATAAATAATGCAAAGGGAAAAGTGAGCACACACGTACTACTTGTACGTATTTTTTTAATATTATTAGGTTACGGCGTTATTATACGAGTTACAAATGTCCAAAATAAAAATAATAAAATAAATAAATAAACAAGGTAGTTTAATTCAGAAGTATTTAATCAATCATTAAATTAAAGCAGAAAATACGAGCTCAAGTACGGGCAGAAAGGAAAATAAAATTATACCTGCTCAAAAAGTTTGAAAAATCAATTTCGAAATATTGGTATAAATTGATTATAAAAAATATTTTAGATAAAAAATTTAGTTTTTTAAGTAATTCCACTCGCTTTATATTCGGTGATACACACAAAGCGTTTATGGCCCCAAGCAACGCGCTTCTTATGCATTTTATTGTCATTATAATCAAACGATAAGAATAAGACACTTTTTTTTGACTGTCCGGCATTTGCGAGATTAAGATTAAAATAATTAGTTATCTAGCGATCCAGTTAGAATCGGAAGCAATTACTGTAGCGAATTTCAAACAGAGCAAATTTTCAGTAGGTAAGAGCGGCTTAGATTATATCCCCAACAAGTTTTAATAGTGATAATCTAAGAATGATATGCGAACTCTTCCGAGGACAACAACAATAAGTTGTATCAAGTGGATTTTTCAGTTCGGAAACTACTCAATTACAGACACACTTGGTGACTCTAACGGAAAGAGAGTTTTCAACGGTTTGATTGATGTTAAACAAGTTTTTAGACATGAAGAACTCATATGATCTTTTTTAAATATAAGATGAATGCATAGTTCCACTTTTTCTAAGTTGCACAAGAAGCAAGTGAAATACCCTGGCGATCAATAATCCTATACGGCAACCGCCAAATGGATTGACTGCATTACTGTGATTCGGAAGCTCCAGTAGGGATCAGCTTACACCCGGAAATGCCATATCGAAGCACACTTTATGTAATTTCCTCACTAAAATTAAAACGCATATTCTCGAAAGATGAAAAATATTGTCTAATAATAGCAGAGTGATAAGCTTTTAATTGTTTTACAACACAGGAAATTACAATACAATTCTGCTATGTAACCGCAGTGTTTGGAGCCAATAAAGATCAGAAATGTGATGTATGAAATTTAAGGGCTTAAAACTTTCGGTACCTTAAGGCTTAGGTTATTTTAAGAAACGCCGCAAACAAAGGAGCGAATCTATTTTGAGTGCGGGCGACACGATCGTACTCGGTTCGCCTTAACCTTGAATTATATTTACTCAACGTACTTCTCTGCTCTGTTTAATGAGTATTATTTATTGCATTGTTTTGCATTATTATGAGATTATTTGCTTTATGCGTGATGCTGCCACACTTGATGTGTTAATCTTCTTTGCGTTTACACTTGCTCTTAAATGCTTTTAATCTCTTTCCTTTACCATATGTATATGAAGGTGTTTAGATCTATATATACATATGTACATATATGTTTGCATGTACTACGTATATGTATGTATGTACAAGTATGTACTCTGTTATTGCCCTGTAGGAAAAATATAAAATTGTTGAAACTCCTATTTGTTTTTGTATATTTGTAAATTTAATAAATATGTAAAAACAATAAGAAATGTTAACTTCGTTAACAATAAGAAATGTTAAAAACTTCCAAGGTAAAGAATTTTGAGAGCGCTGTTGCTATCATTTTCATTGAGAAAAATATATAAGTCACAAAACAGCTGATTGAGTAATTAGAAAAGGATAAATATTACATATTGAGCTCAAAATTTATTTAAAAAGCATGGCTTGATGAGTTCAACTCTAAATTCCGGTAGAATACATAATTCTTTTTTCGAATTCCTCCAAAGACAATTATATTTCACTATTCTTGCTATTGGAAATACATATACTTTTGTAGCAACCCTGTATACCCGCTGTTGTCTAGTGTTGACGCTTTCTTCTACTTTCTTATATATTTTTTTTTGGGAGAAAATCGTTTCTTATTCCTTTTGAAATTGGCTACAGACAAAATATTCCTACAGTGTACTTGCATAAGTACAAATTTACATGAAACTGTTTGTCTTCGCCGTTTAATTTCATTGTGTGCTCGAATATTTACAAAATATAATAAATTTAATTTAAGTTCTACTTGTAAATGTAAATGCTTATCGCACGCCACAGCGACAAGGTAATCATAATCATATTATAACGTGGCTGTTTAGAACGTTGAATTTCGCATGATTTGCAATTTTTAAGAATAAAATGAGATAAGCACTAAAGGAAATACGAACTTGTTATCATATATCTAGAGACAGACATATATTTGTAGGCTTACATATAACGAGATTTACTTGATTTAGCATTAGTTCATATATTTCATTAATATATTATTCCATTAGTTTTGAAGCAAATAATGTAAAGTAGAGAATTGAATAATAAGAGTTTGTACAATTCTTGGAAAAAATTATAGAAATGTGTAGTAGAAATTGTTCAAAAAAGTCTTTAGTTTACAAGGGTGTAAGGAAATTATTAAAGTAGTAAATGTTTCAATAAGAATTTAGATCAGTTCTGTATAGATATGGCACGATCATAAATTTAGATTCTTCTGTAATTCATAAGTATTCACAGAGCTTCATGAGCAGCAACTAACATTCACAGTGCTGAACCTTATTAGCAGCAACTGGCATCGTCATAACATATTTATATTAGCTTCAGATTTTAAGTACCTATTTACTATCACGTAATTATCATAAAGATTTTAATGATTTTATTAGCTTCAGCGAAGAAGCAACTATTGCAGGCAGTGAGGATGAGTAATTTGGAATATTATCGCAGTCAATGATTTGCAAAATGTGAAAAAGAGCAATCATAAAACTGAGCACACAAGGCATATTTGCTGCATAATTGTTTAACAAAACTGAGAAATTTCATCACAATATACAACATGTAAAAAAATAATAATAAATTAAAAATACTTTTAAACAAAATTATCTAGCACTGCTAATAATAAGCAATTAATTAGCTTGAACTCAAACGTAAATTCTAGAATTTATAATAAAGTTGTTAACTCCATCTATTATAATACGGATTTATATATTTTTAAATATCAGTTAAGTTTTATAAATACATATTTGTAATAATTAAAGGCTTTTAATCGCCAATTAAGTGGAGAGTGTGAGAAAGTCATTTAAGTAATTTTCCAGAAACGAAAAAAAATCAGTTTTAAAATAAGCAACCGTGCAATTAATCGCAACTTAAACTCAATTCCTATAATTACAGTTAACTTGCCTGCACATGCAATGCTCTA